AAAATGCTTCTGTTCATCGATTGCTGTGGAAATCAATATCTTCACCCTCATTTAGTGCCCAGGCCTGATGGGGCGTCCTCTCCCTCTTCAAAGTCCTGGCCACAAAGCGTTCTGCCTCGGGCCCCAGGGTCAAATTAGTACAAAGGACAGGGAGCAGTTTTTTAGTATCCTGTTAAGTCCTGTCTGTCCCCATATCAGACTTCTCTGGGAATGGGAGGAGAGGAGGAGGTGACCTGGCCCTGAGGAGCATGTTCCCCAACGTGACAGCCATCTCTTTTTTCTCTTCTTGCTGAGCCAGGCCCAGAGGAAGTGGGACTGCAGGTCCAGCAGGACGGCCCTGAGACCACTCGGGTGCCCACACCTCGACCCAGGGATGGTAGGTGCCCACAGCCAGCTGAAAATGAGGTGGGAGCATCAGAAAAGGATGGATTAGATTGAGGGAAGTCACAGCCTGAGTTATAGCAGCTCAACAGATTTGCACCAGATTTTGAAACACTTGTTTTTTTGTGCTGGTCTCAGTCCTAATTAATAGGGGTATGATGTCCAGAAAGGAGGAGATGAACTTCCAACTAGAGCAATCTAGAGGTTTCTAGAGTTAGGATTAAAGGGAAAGAGTGGGGATCCTGTCCTGAGGGGAGTAATGAAGGAATTCCAAATTTAGTTCAGGAAGTGGGGTAGAGACTCCAGTGACCTTCAGGGGACACAGTAGGACATGATCACAATCCCCAGATGGCTGGCCTGGTGTTGAAGTACTGGAATTATGAGACAGCTGACAGAAGCACTCAACACGTTTGATCTCTTTCTCTCAGGCCTGTCTCTGGGTCTGGCACACTGCTCATCCTGAATCGGTCTCACTTGTCTGTCTTCATGGGGTTTCCTGGGCAGTGCTGTGTCTCAAACCCTGCCTTAGCCTCTTCACCCCCTACCTGGCCTAGCTTGGAGATGGCCTGGCATGGGCCAACCCCCTTACCCCCAGGCCTTGTTCCCCCACAGGACACCTACGTCTGGTCGGTGGAGCCAACCGATGTGAGGGGCGTGTAGAGCTCTTCCTAGGGCAACGGTGGGGCACAGTTTGTGATGATGCCTGGGACCTGAGGGCAGCTGGTGTCCTGTGCCGCCAGCTGGGCTGTGGCCCGGCTCTGGCAGCCCTTGGTGAGGCCCACTTTGGCCAAGGTCGAGGCCCCATCCTTCTGGACAACGTCAAGTGCCGTGGGGATGAGAGCACCCTACTGCTCTGCTCTCACATTCGCTGGGATGCCCACAACTGTGACCACAGTGAGGATGCCAGTGTCCTGTGCCGGCCCTTGTGACCAGCTGGCTCCACAGACCACCACTTCTTCCGGGAGCCTACTGTAACCTGTCCCTCTTCCTCCAGGAAGCCTTCCTCCAGTGACTTCTGCAGTTCTCCCTGCCCCTCCCTCCCCTACTTGGGAGAAAGTCTGCCCAGAGGGGAAGTCCCGCCTAGGGGAACCTGGCTCTGTCCCCATCAACTTCTTGGGTGACCTCGATCTGTCATCAACTATTGCAGTCCAGTGCAGTGAACACATCCATGTTTTGTTTAGCCAAAACAGAAAATGGCAGGGAGGGGTTGGGGACTCTGGAGTCTTCTCTTCATGGGAACTCCTATTACAGTACTATTGACCCTGCCTCCTTCTACCTGGATCCAGAAGGCTCAGGGTTCCTCTGTAAATGGGATGCCTTCCCTTCCCTTCCCTGACCTATCTGGGGATCCCTAAGCAGGGGAGCCAGGAGGCACATGCAGCTCTTTCCTTAGACTCCCAGGGGCTGCAGAAAAACCTGGGTCATTGCCTGACCTTCTCCATGAAGGCCTGGATTTAGATGGTGCTCGGCTGGACAAGGGGGCTGGAGGGGCCAAAGCAGGGACAGTGGCTCCTCCCTGCAGCTGGAACCAGCAGCTCTGATTTATCTGCCCCCTCCACAGCCTCCACTTTGCAGTAGCAAAGAAGCCTGGGGGCCTGTAGCCACCAGTTCATAGGTGCCAACTCAATAAAGCATTGTCCCCCTGACTTTTAACTGAGGTCATTGTTTGAACAGCAGTGCATTATCCGTGGCAACAGAAGATTCCAGGCAGGACTGACTCTCTGGAGGAATCTGGCCTGAGGATGGAAGGCGGTGGCCCAAGAGCATCATCTCTGAGCTTGAATCCTGGAAATGCTGACTCACTGTGGCGGGCCTCCAAGGTCCCTAGAGAATACCCTGGCCCTTGGCCTGTCTCCTCTTTCTTTCTACATATACAGAAATCTAGAACCCGCTAAAGGAAGGGGTTTGCTCAAGGTCACAGAGCAAGGTGAAGGAGTCACTAGAGAAGAAAAAGTGATTAAAGGGAGTGGGAAGGGAGATCCTGTTTGAGCCTCTCTTGGCCCCAGGCTATGTGACTTGCCTGTGTCAACAGTCCAGTGTCAAGCCCCCACCCTTCAGGTCCAGCCTGCTTGTTTTTTGTTTGTTTGTTTGTTTTTCGTACTGGGGATTGAACCCAGAGGTGTTTTACCAGTCAGCCATATCCCCAACCCTTTTTATTTTTTATTTTTATTTTTTATTTTTTTAAAGAGAGAGGAGAGAGAGAGATATATAGAGAGAATTTTTAATATTTATTTTTTAGTTCTCGGCGGACACAACATCTTTGTTGGTATGTGGTGCTGAGGATCGGACCTGGGCCACACGCATGCCAGGCGAGCGCGCTACCGCTTGAGCCACATCCCCAGCCCTCCCCAACCCTTTTTAATTTTCACTTTGAGACAGGGTCTCACTAAGTTGCTTAGGGCCTTGCTAAATTGCTGAGGCTGACCTCTAACTTGGTGATCCTCCTTCCTCAGCCTCCCTAGTTGCAGGGATTAGAGTTGCTCAGATTGGAGGCATGTGCCAGAGGTGGCACCTAGCAAGCCTGCAAGGCTTTGTATTAGTTTTTTTCTTACTGCTATAACATGGCCACCAATGTCCTTCCTTGAAACAATACAGATTTACCATCTTTTTTTTTTTTTTTTTTAATGTGGGCCTTTGTGCATTTGGGGCAAACACTCTTATCAGTTGAGCTATATCCCCAGACTCAAATTTACTATCTTAACAGTTCTTGAGGTCATAAGTTTGAAATGGACATCCCTGGATAAAATTCAAGGTGTCCACAGGGTGATGGTCTTTCGGAGGTTCTAGGGGTGAATCTGCCTCTGCTTCCTTACCTCTTCTAGCTTCTAGAAGCTGCTCATGACCTTCTACCCAGGAATCACACCATCTGACCTCTGGGCCTTCTTTTTTTTTTTTTTAGTGTTGGAAATTGAGCTCAGGGCGCTTGACCTCTGAGTTAATTCCCTAGCGCTTTTTGATTTTTCAGAATTTGAGAAAGGAACATGCTAAGTTGCTGAGACTGGCCTCAAACTTGCAATCCTCCTGCCTCAATCTCCTGAGTTGCTGGAATTACAGGCCTGTGTCATTGCACCTGATTTGATCTTTACTTCTGACAGCTCATCTTTGACTCTTTGCTTTCCTCTTTCATCTTTTAAGGCCTTCTGTGATTATGTTAGGTCTGCCTAAATAATCCAGTATCATCTCCCTATCTCAATATCCTTGATTTAATCAAACACGCAAAATCCCTTTAGCCAGGTAAAGTAACATAGTCACAGGTTCCAGGGATTAGGATGCAGATGTCCTTGGGGAACCTTATTCTGTCTCCCACAGGCTCTAAACCTGAGTTCTGGCTCCCATCTAAGGAAAGGTGAACACTCTGACTCTCAATTCCCTCAGCTTCTGGCAGGAATGACTTTGCCTCATTTGTTAAAGAGCTCCCTGAGACCTGCTGTGTCATTGGAGGGACAAGGGCTACAGGAATGAAAGATAGGAAAGTGGCCCAGGCCAGTCTGGGCACACTGGTGCATGCCTGTAATCCCAGCTATTCAGGAGGCTGGGGCGAGGAATGATAAGTTCTAGGCTGGCCTCAGCAATTTAGCAAGACTGTCTTAAAATGAAAAATCAAAAGGACTGAGGATGTAGCTCAGTTGTAAAGGACCCCTGGGTACCAAAGGAGGGAGAAAAAGAAAGAAAAAAGAGGAAAGAATTCAGGAAGTTAGGCAGAGGGACAGAGGAATGTTCTAGCTGCCTTGCTGTCCCCAGCACACTGAGGGATTCTGCTTTACCTGTGGTATTAGCCATTCCAGCCACACATTCCTTGTAATGTGTGTCTCTAATGTCCCAAGAAATATCACAGCTTCCCAGCACTAGACTCTCCTCATCCAAACAAAATAAACATTGAATGGATCTTCACCACAGCCCTGGGAAGGAAGTATTTCCCATCCTGCTTTACAAACAGGGAGAAGTGAGGCTCAGAGAGGAGAAAAAGTTTGTCTGGGTAAGCAGAGGGAACTAGAACTGGAACCTAGGCTTCCTGGCTCTTGTTAGCAGTGGGCATCAGCATTACCAGTTTGTTACTTGGAAGCAAGAGGTGGGAGGTGGATTTGCATTTCCATGCCCACCTCCCCCCCTTTATTTTGTAGTGCTGAGAACAAGATCTTGCATTTGCTAGATAAGTGCTCTGAGCTATTATCCCTGCCCCCCCCTTTTTTTTAGTTTTGAGTCAGGGTCTCACTAAGTGTCCAGGCTGGCCTCTGGCCTCGAACTTATGATCCTCCTGCCCTAGCCTCACAAGTCACTGAGATTATGGGTGTGCACCACCACACCCAGTTACCATCACAATCTATCAGTGAGGCATGACCCTATGACACACTTTCACTAATGAAATATGGCACAATTCCCTTCCTTCAAGGTGACCAAGTGACATCCAGTATGTGTGTCTAAGCAAAGGCCACTTGGAGCAAAGTCTCTACTAGCTCAGACAGACATGAAGTGGAAGTGAGAAAAAAATCCTTGTTTAAGCTACTGAGATCCAGTTGTTCATTAGAGCAGCATAGCCTGGCTTTCCAGACTCAGACATCAGGCTCCTAAGTTTTGCTCTGTCTTGTGGGTCTTGCAGCCAGTTGCAAAGGCTGATTCTGTTCATTTTTTACCCCCCTGGTGCTGGGGATGGAACCAAGGGTTTCTAACATGACAGGCAAGTGCTCCAGTCTGAGCCACATCTCCAGCCCTTTTCATTGTTTTATTTTGAGACAAGGTCTTGGTAAGTTGCTGAGGCCAGCCTCAAACTTGTGATCCTCCTGCCTCAGCCTCCTGAATGCTGGGATTACCACACTCAGCTTCTATTCACTGTTTTTTCAGCACACTTTGGTGTTCTCTGGGCCAGGGCCTCCTGAGGTTGGGAGCACAGGAATAAATAGGCAAGGCTTTTCTTCTTTTTTTTTTTTTTTAATTTTTTTTAATACTTATTTTTTAGATTTCAGCGGACACAACATCTTTGTTTGTATGTGGTGCCGAGGATCGAACCCTGGCCGCACGCATGCCAGGCGAGCGTGCTACCGTTTGAGCCACATCCCCAGCCCCAAGGCTTTTCTTCTTGAGAAATTCACAGAATAATCCCACACTGACTTCAAGTGCCCTGCTCTCTCTTAAAACACCCTATCCCACTCATAACTTTGTCATCTACATCTAAACCTGAGTCCCCCTGTTTGGTAGTAGCACCACCAAATCACTAGCTCCAGCCAGAATCTGGGATGTTATCCTTTTCAAGTCCCACCCCAAACAACGAATAAATCACAAGGTTCTATTGATTTTTCTCAAACTCTCCCGGAAGCTGTCCATTTCTCTCTATCCTTAAGTGTCTTCCCTGTCTGTAACCCATTCCCCATAGCACAGTAACAGAGAGATTCCTCCACTCCCCTGCTCAAACACCTGCCATGGCTCCCCAGTGCTCTTCCTCAACGCCTTAGCCCAGTTTAAAAAGGTCCTGCACAATCTGGCTCTGTTTATCTTTTCAGCATCATCCCTTGCCATTTGCTGCCAGGACTGAGCCAGGCTGAACTACTTTCAATTCCTCTAATGTCTGGGCTCTCTTCCCACAGAGGGGAGCCTCTGCACATCCTGTTCTCTCTGCCTGGAATACACATCATCTTCTCCTCCTCCTTCCCCTTCACCAATTCTTATTTAGCCTCAGTCTCAGCTTTCATTTTCTCCAGAAGGCCTTCACAGACAGGTCCTCCTAGTCTGGAGCAGGAACCCCTATTACACCCTGTAATTCCCCAGTGACCACACTCACCCCACATGTCACACACTGCTGCTTGGCCTGACCTTTCCTAGCCCCAGGGTTGAGGACTGGGGTTGCTCTGCTGTGCCCAATGTTGTACACAGGACCTAACATACAGCAGATGCTCAAATAAATATTTTTTGAATGAATGGAGGACACGCAAAAATACTTCTGGAACATCCATCTACTAGACCAAGCATTATGCTGGGCTCTGGGACTACAGAGCAAGACGCACAGAGGCCAACTTTCAAAAGGAGATATAAAGCTGGGTGCCGTGGTGCCTGCTTATAACCCCAGTGGCTCAGGAGGCTGAGGCAGGAGGATCTCAAGTTTGAAGCTAGCCTCAGCAACTTAGCAAGATCCTAAGCAATTTAGCAAGATCCGGTCTCAAAAATAAAAAGTAAAAAAGGATGGGGATGTGCCTCAGTGGTAAAGAGCTCAGTGCTCCTTTTACAAAAAAAAAAAAAAAGAAAGAAAGAAAAGAAAAAGAAAAAGAAAAAGGAAGGTTTGAGGGGATCTATTCCAGATCCCTCAGTGGGGACTTAGCCTGGGCTGCAAAAGTACCATAGTGAAGGACATCATGATTGGAGCAAAAAGGAACATGAGTCAGAGAATCTGGTAAGGGCTGGAGCACTCAGGGATTTGGGGCCACAGAGGAGCTTATTCCAAGGATGATGGGGATCCACAGAAAAGTGATACAGGGCCCCACTGCCAACTGAACATTGCCATCTTTCAACTTGCCAAGAATACCTTGCTCCCAAGGTTTCATTAAAAAGATCCAGAGGGCTGGGGATGTGGCTCAAGTGGTAGCACACTCACCTGGCATGCTTGCAGCCCCGGTTTGATCCTCAGCACCACATACAAACAAAGATATTGTGTCTGCCGAAAAAAACTAAAAAATAAATATTTAAAAAAAAATCTCTCTCTCTCTCTCTCTCAAAAATAAATAAATAAATAATAAAAAATAAAAAGATCCAGAGCTAGCCAGGCACTGTGGTGCACACCTGTAATCCCAACAACTTGGGAGGCTGAAGCAGTAGGATCAAAAGTTCAAAACCAGCCTCAGCAACTTAGAGAGGGCCTAGGTTACTTAGTGAGACCCTGTCTCAAAAAATAAAAAGGACTGGAGGTGTGGCTCAATGGTTGAGCATCCTGAGTTCAATCCCCAATACCAAAAGAAAAGATCACAAGGGTGGGGGCGTGTAGCTCTGTAACAGAGCACTTGCCTAGTGTGTACAAAGCCCAGATTCAATCTCCAGCAACTCCAAATGGATAAATAAACAAATAAATAAAGGATCCATCTAGGTATCTATTATCATTAAAGTAGGATAGCCAGCATCCCAACCACAAATCTTGGATTCTGCTGATGACCCCTAACTTTTGCTTATTCTGATTCCTGCTTTTGCCTCCTCCTTCAGAAAACTTTTTTCCTACTAAACCGACTCTAAGGTCTTTATTCCCAAAGCACAACCAATCTCAGGCTGTGAATACAGCAAACTTGGCAGGTGATTTACAGTAAGGGCTCAATGCACAGCTGAAAATTGAAAATTAAATACCCTGCTTTTGCCAGGTGCAGTGGTGTGTGCCTGTAATCCCAGCAGCCCAGGAGGATGAGGCAGGAAGATGGTGAGTTCAAAGCCAGCCTAAGCAACTTGGTGAGACCCTGTCTCAAAATAAAAAGGGCTGGAGGTATAGTTCAGTGGTTGAATGCCCCTGGGTTAATACTCAGTGCCAAATAAATAAATGCCCTGCTTTTAAAGAGTCCTTGTGAACCAGGCCCTGCAGAAGGTGCTTTTTTTTTTTTTTTTTGGTGCCAGGACTGAACCCAGGAGCACTTAACTTCTGAAAGACATCCCTAGCCCATTTATATTTTTGATTTTGATATAGAGTCTTCCTAAGTTGCTTAGGGCCTCTCTAAATTGCTGAGGCTGGCTTTGAACTTGAGATCCTCTTGCCTCAGCCTCTCTAGCTGCTGGGATTACAGGCGTGCACCACCAAGCCCAGCTGAACCCAGGGTCTCAAGCATGCAAGGCAAGAGCTCTGCCTCTGAGCTATATCTTCAGCCCTCATCGTTTGCTTATGAAAAATGTTGCTATAAACATCTGAATACAGGTATCTGTTTGAGAACCATATTCAATTCTCTTAGGTATATATTTAAGAGTGGAACTGCTGACTCGGGTAGCAATTCTGTGTTTAACACCTCAGGGAGCCACCTGTTTCCACAGCAGTTTCACCATCTTACATTCCTACCAGCAATACACTGAGGTTCCAATTTCTCCCCATCCTCACCAACACCTATTATTTCCTTCCTCTCTCCCTCCCTCCCTTCCTTCCTTCATGCTGGGGATTAAATCCAGAGCCTTGGGCATGTGAGGCAAGTACTCTATCAACTGAGTTATATCCCCAACCCCAACACATATTAATTTCTAATTCTGCCATCCTAGTGGGTATATCTCTAGTGATTGAAACCCATTAAGTCCCAAGGTTTCAATCCTGAGAATATTTCAACAAAATTGACACAAGTGCACTAAAATAGATTGGAAATCAGCCATAAGCCCAAATGGTTATATATATTAGGCTATAAGTATTATTAATTATATTCCATAATATATACTGTATTTGTTTTTATAATTGTTCCACACCTAGGAACATGGAGTGAAATAGGTCCATAATGTTCAGTCTTTCTACATGCCTATTGGCCATATGTTTATCTTCTTTGGAAAAATGTCTATTCATTCAATGCCATTGCCTGTTTTTTAATATTTTTTAATAGGACGTCTTACCTTTTTTTTTTTTTTTTTTTTTAAATGCAGAACTGTACAGCTCTCTTGTCTATGGCCTAGGTTCCAGGACTAGCCTTTCAAAACTGTGATTTCTATTTTGCTACTCAGAGCTGTTTCTCCTATCGGGGATTCTGCAACCAAACTACTGTGCAGAACTGTTTCCCCTCTCCATTTGTGCACACCCTCTCATTTCACCCGCCCAACCACCTCAGCTGCGAAAGAAACTTGTTCTTTGGGTCTACAGAAGAGGATTGCGGTGCTGGCCAAAATCAGACAGCTGGAATTCACACCCTGAAAAGTCAAACCCCAAAGCTCCAGGCCTTCCTATCTGGCATTATCTTGCCTCGGGACCGGCCGCGAAGTGCATATTCTTATCTCTTCTATAAGGAAGGAAAACCAAAGGCCAGAAAAGGGTCGAGGTTTTTTTCTGATCACACAAAAAAGACCAGGTTGTAGATCTAGGGACTCCTGCCTTAGTTCCTAATTCCCCACCTCCTCCCCAGCAGCAAGGCCCTGGGCCGGGCGGAGCAGGGCGCGGCTAGCCATGGCCCTCCCGCCTCGTCGGGTAGCACCTTCCCGCTGAGTCACGACCCGAGTGACGCGCGGCGCGGGGTGGGGCATGAGACCCGCCTCGCGTGGGAACTGAAGCTCCACCCCTGGCTCCGCTGCAGCCTTCCGATTGGAGAGCCTGAGAACCTGCACAGCCAATCATAGCAAACTGCAGAGCGCGGGTTGGGAGGGGCTAAGGGGGAAGGAGCCGCCCTCAACTCCCCTGGAATCTGCCCACCCCGCCGCGCCCCTTCGGGCTTTTGGGAGCCACTGAGTTTCGGCAGTCTAAAGGGCGGGGCTGGCTGGATCCTGGGTCTGTTCCCTGGTGCGACCTCTTCGAGGACAGGAAGAATCGAGAAGGATTCCCAAGAGCTTGGAGGGTATGCAGACTTTTCTAGTCTGTGCAGCCATTTGCATCTTACAAAAAAGGTTTGACACAGCATCCTTGCCCCCTCCCCCAAGGCTGGGGTATTTACTCAGATTTTTAGAGGGCAGGATTAACGCAGAGAAGTCTGATAAAATTCTAAAGCTAATTCTCAATACCACCTGCATTAAAAAGGGAGTCCCCCCTCCGGTCCCTGCACGGGCATGCGCACTGGGCAGTTTTTTTAACGCAACCAGCTACAGTAAAACCCCAGCAAAGGCGAAAGATTTGGAATCACATTGGGATTTGGGGCCTGTGTGATTTTCAGAATGGGCCCTGCTAATCAAAACAGATTGGTATTCCTACTTGGCAGAGGGAGAAACACATGCTTGGAGAAGGAACCTGCCCAAGGTCACCCACCCTGAGCTAGAGGCAGACTGGGAAGCTAGGTATGCAGGCGCTCCCATGTACCTCTTCCCTTCGTGGTCTGCCTGCCCGTATTTTTTTCTTCAGGCTCAGAGCTCTCCATCACCATCAGGAAGAAGAGGAAGCTGCAGGCACTTGGTGCCTGACTCTTGAGTCCAGCTCTCTCAAGATTGCTGTCACAGCCCACAAATGTGCAGAGCTTTGCAGTCTGTAGCTTGCAGGGAACTTTGTATGTAATATCTCCATTGATTCACCTGGCCACAGTGGGAAATGAAAATTATTGTTCCCCCATTTCCAGGTGAGAAAGCCTCAAAACTATAATACATCCATTGAGTTATAATGAGATTCAAAGACTCACAACTAATATGTATCTGCTGGACCTTGCTATTGTGCTGGGTTATGTTAGATGCAAAGATAAACAGGTTTTAGGTTCTTAGGAATGTAATGCATATATTTTCTCAGCCCTTTATAAAAGATTCCAGGGTGTGGGGATTCGGAGAAATGTTGTGGGACTCAGAGGCAGAAGTAAAGGGAATTTCTAGAAGTTCTGGGGAAGCTTCTGGAGGAGGGAATATTTAAATTGGGGTTGAGCCAGCCCAGGGGCACCCATCTGTAATACCAGTAGCTCAAGAGGTTGAGACAGGAGGATTGTGAGTTCAAAGCCAGCCTCAGCAACTCAGCGAGACCCTGTCTCTAAATAAAATACAACATAGGGCTGGGGATGGGGCTCAGCGGTAGAGTGCCGCTGAGTTCAATCCTGGTATCTCCCCCCAAAAAAATTTAAATTGGGGTTGAAAGCCATAGATTTGAACAGGTGGGGATGGAGAGATGCCCCCCTGCCCCATGTCCTTTCCCAATATCCTGGGGTTGCCCTTTTATCACAACCCACCTACTAGACTTTATGCACCTAATAGACATTTAGCATTTTTTAATTCAGTGCTAGGGACTGAGTGCAGGTTCTTGCACATGCTAGGCACTTTTCCACTGAGCTCCATCACCAGCCCGACACTCAACATTTGAATAAATGAGTAGAAAAATGAGTGTCTCAGAGGCAGGATGGGGCCAGGTTATGGGTGACCTTGGTGATCAAGAGTCTCTCTTCCAGCTAAGTTGTGGAGGGTCACAATGTAGGTTGATGCCTTGTATGATTAGGATGTAGCCATGAGACATATTTTTCTCTTGTTGCAATGGTCTTGGCATTCTGCATTGAGTGCTTAGTCCTGGACTTTGGGGATGATGCATAGGAACCCTTAATTGGTGAGTTTTTTGTTGTTATTGTTGTTGTTGTTGTTTTTAACTTTAGTACTGAAGTTTGAACCCAGGGGCGTTTTACCACCAAACTACATCCCCAGCCCTTTTAACATTTTTTTTTTTCTTTTGAGACAGACTCACACTCAGTTATTTTGGATCTCACTAAATCACTAATTTGAGGCTGGCCTCCAATTTACAATTCTGTCTTAGTTTCCTGGGTTGCTGAGATTACCACTACACCTAGCCAATTGGTGAGATCTTTAGAAATTGTGCAGCCTGGGAGCTAGAATCACAATCCTTTGACCAAACTGCTTGGCTAGATTTTTTTTTTTTTTCCTTCTTGCAGTGTTGCTGATTGAACCCAGGGCTTCACCCATGTCATGCAAGGCACTCTGCCACAGAGCTATATCCTTAGTCCCTTGACTAGATTTTGAAATATTCTCAAAGGGTACTGGGTACAGGAGACATTTGTTACCTCCAAGTTCTTATTAGGCTTAAAGGACACCTTTATGCTCTGGTCTTACTCAGGTCCATGCCTCTGTGGGCAGGTGAAGACAGGTAGAATCCCTGAGGATAGCTGTGGTGGTTTCCATTTTGTAGATGAGAACCAAGACCTGCAAGAAGCTCAGTGGAAGCCAGGTGTGGTGGGCACGCCTGTAATCCTAGCAGCTAGGGAGGCTGAGGCAAGAGGCTCCAAGTTGGAGGCCAGCCTCAGCAATTTAGCAAGTCCCAAGCAACTTAGTGAGACCCTGTTTCAAAATAAAATATAAAAAGGGGTGGGGATGTGGTCTTGTGGTAAAACTCCTCTGGATTCCGTCACTTATACCTAAATAAATAAAGAGGAAAGAAAAAGGAACAGGTGAGTGGGTGCCAAACCTCACCCTAGGGAAAGGCAGAACTGGGGTCCGTGCCTCCGTAGAGGCCCCTTTCATGGCCTCATACTGCCCTCTAGGAAGCCCTCAAGGGCAACTTTAGCCTGTCTGGGGAAACAGAGTCCCTGGGCTGCATTTTCCATGGCGGGTTGTTCAGAGGGGAGAGACAGCCAGCCCCATTACTGGCCTGATGGCCTCTGCCTTTCCAAAGCAGCCATCCATCCTGCCTGGTTGGGTCCAGCCCAGCAGCTTCCGGGACAACTCTTGGGCATCTGGCCAGCCTGCTCAGCACCTTCTCTCCTAGTCTCTGTCTCGAGCAATCTGTCTTCCTGTCTGTCCCTCCGTCAGATCTCTCTCTCTCTCTCTCTCTCTCTCTCTCTCTCTCTCTCTCTCTGTCTCCACCACTGTGTGCCTGTTTCTCCTCCCTAATCTTTCTTCTGTACCAAGAATAACCTTTGGGCCTCCAGTCCCTCAGGAGTCCTGTTACCCCTGCTCTGACTGGTGCCTCTTTTTTTTTTATTTTTTCTTTTTTGTACCGAGGATTGAACCCAGGGGCACTTAACCCCCTGAGCCACATCCCCAGCCCTTTTTATTTTTTATTTAGAGACAGGGTCTCACTGAGTTGCTTAGGGCCTTGCTAAATGGATGAGGCTGGCTTTGAACTCATGATCCTCCTGCCTCAGCCTCCTCAGCCTAGTGCCTCTTCTCAACTGGCAGCGTGAGCCAGTGGGAAGATTATAAAGGAGGGGAATACCACAGTGGAACTCTAGTCTGGTCAAATCCTTGGCTTCTTCGTCTCTCTGCTTCTTCGTCTCTCGGCTTCTTTGTCCCTCCTGAGGCAACCAACCCCAGAGGCCCAAATTGTCTCCAGAGGAGGAAGGTGTTGCTCAGAGGTCCAAGTTACAGAGCAGGACATGTGGTGGCAGGGCCTTTATCAACGGAAGACTTGAGGGGTGGACAGGTCCAGGCCACATGCTTCCCTACCTGTCATGCTGGTCCTGGCAGATGCCTGTCCTCAGGCTCAGATCTGCAGCTCTTTGATCTGTCCCTTTGCCCAGAGCCCAGTCCTGGGTGCCCTGAATTGCAGCTTTCCTATTTCCCCAGGGCCTGCTTCGCCCTGGGGGACTCCACCTCCAACCACAGGGCCCAGCACCTGCCTCCAGAGCCTCTCAGGGTGAACCTCCTTAAACTTGAGCCTCAGCCCCTGTGTCACCGTCCCCAAATTTCCAAGGCTTCTGTTCATCTTGGAGGACCTCCCAGAAGGGACACTCCTGACCCTCTGGCACCCCCTGCTCCACTGTCCTCTGCCTGTTCTTGACTGACCCCAAGGCCTCCATTCCGTAGCCACCTCCTCCTTCCCAACCTGGACTGGTGCTTGGCCAGTTACTCCTTTGATCTGTTGGGCTCCTTGTCCCCTGTCCCAGCTGACCCCTGGCCTGCTACAGGTGGTCTGACCTCAAACTTCTCAGCTCCCAGCCCATACTTCCTAGAGCTACCGGAGAAAACCTCAGGGCTGGGCAGAGGGGGCTGCTCACACAGGCCTCCAAGCCCAGCTGGTCCCTGAATGGTCAGTCCTTCCACAGCTTGCTCCCCCACCCTCTCCGGAGGCTCCCTCAAACTGTCAGTCTGTTCTCCAGCCTCCCTCCTCCTGCTGTGACTCAGCAGGTGACTTCAGCTTCTACTACAGTGACACAGGTTCCCAGGAACCTCCCTATCCACTCCCAAGACCCTCCCACTCACCTTCCATCTCAGAGGGCCATCCTCCAGTGCTTCTGGCCTCCCCCACCTCAAAAGATGCTCCCATCTCCTCCACCCCCAGCCCCTAACCCTCAGGCCTCAGTCTCTCTAGGCTCCGGCATTTAAGCCATCCCAGGCCTCTTCTAGGGTAATGAAACCACCAGCAATAACATCTCACTTCTTCATCTGACCCGTGAAGCACCTGGGAAAACAGTCATCTCCGGATCTTAACCCTTTACCTCTCTATCCCTGCCATCCTAATCTATAATAATTGGGCCCCATCAAAAAGGCACTTGCCAGCTGGGTGTGGTGGTACATGCCTTATAATCCCAGTGACTCAGGAGGCTGAAGAAGGAGGATTGCAAGTTTGAGACCAGCATCAGCAACTTAGCAAGGCCCTGAGCAACTTAGCAAGACCCTTTTTTTAAATAAAAAATTAAAAAGGGGTTGGGGATATATGTAGGTCAGTGATAAAGTGCCCCTGGGTTCAATCCCCTGTACCCTCCCCCAAAATGGCACTTGCCAAGGTCAACAGAGGTGCCCTAAGTCATGAAAAGGCCTTCTCTTCTGTCCTTACAGACTTTTCTGGAGCCATTTGTGTGGTCCCTGGGACACATGGACCCCTGGTCCTCCCAGTGTATCCTCCAGGTCTCCTTGTGAGTTTACCTTCCTTGGCCTGTCCTCATTTCTCATCCCTTTCTCTTTCAGTCTTCCGGGGCCCCAGGCTTCACCTCCTACGGAGAACTCCAATTTCTTTTCCCAGCTCCAGCCCGGGCATCCCACTCGGGTACCTGTTCACACCCAGCAGTTTCCATTTGTCTTTCCCTAAACCTGTCCTAGCGAAGCAAATGGGACCCTCCCCATGCACCTGTTTTCAGAGAAGTCTCCCTCCTGTCCCAGCCGCCATGTCTTCCAAACCCCACCCCCAACCAGCTCCCCTAGGAGGAGCTAGCAAAGATCTTCCACGAAGGAATTCCTTCCTCTGGTCTCATCCCTGTCCTGTCCTCCCTCTAACCTGCTGCCAAGTGAATGTTCTAAAATGCAAAGCTGGAAATCCCTCGTGGCTGAAGCATGGGAAGGACCATCAGCCTCTAGTTCATCCTCAGGCTCCCAGCCTTGGTCTCTGAGGACCTCTTTATTTCTCCTACTCTGCTCCACCCCCAGAACCCAGGAAATCCCCTCGATATCACTGGTAGCTAGGAAATCCCCTGGCTCCCACTGAGCACTTCTGATCTCAAGTTCAGAGGACTTAGGCAAAGGCAGGAAAAGGCAAAGATTTTATCATTAACCCAAGTGGCTTGTCTTGAGCTTCTGGATCATTGAATCCTTCAGGATCTGAGAGAAGTCACTTGGTTAAGGTTATTCAGGAAGAAGTCCTTGGTGCAGCCAGGTCTTCAGTTCCATTGGCTGTTCAGGCTCCTGCATCCAATATGGAGGCTGTGGCCTTGGCAGTACCCTGGAAACCACTTTCTTTCCAACCTCCCCAGTAGGCCCGTGGCTCTGAGTCTCCATCGGGCTGAGAGTGAGCTGGCCCCTCGACTTCTCACTCAGACCCTCCTAGCCCTACCTTTCTCTGCCTCCTCTCAGAGCCAGAGGGGGAGACCAACCCCAGCTGTGTGTAGAGACCCACACTTGCCTCTGCTGCTTCTGAAAAGAGGCCAACAGAGACTTCTGGATGGTAGGATAAGGATCAAGAGACAGGAGAATCTGGTTTATGACCCCAGGCTCCAGCTCTGGGACCCCAGCAGATTACATAACCTCGCTGTGCCTTGGACTCCTCCTCCTGGAGTGCCTGCCTGTGGTTTGATTGGAAACTCACATTCACCAAATTCATATGTGATGGTACTTGGTGGTGCAACCTTTGGAGGTAATTAGGATTCCCTGAGGTCATGAGGATGAGCCCATGATGGCCTTAGGGGATTTGTAATTAGAGGAAGAGAGAACTGAGCCAATACCTGCATGCACCGTCCTGCTACTTAATGCCCTTGGCCATGGTTTGATGCAACAAGAAGGCCCTCACCAGATGCTGAGCAGATGCTGGTGTCATGTTTCATATTCTTGGACTTCTCAGCTTTTGGAACTTCAGCCGAATAAACTTCGATTCTTTTTTTTTTTTTTTTAATTTTAATATTTTATTTTTTAGTTTTCGGCGGACACAACATCTTTGTATGTGGTGCTGAGGATCGAACCGCACGCATGCCAGGCTAGCGCACTACCACTTGAGCCACATCCCCAGCCCAACTTCTATTCTTTATAAATTGTTTGGTCTCAGATATTTTGTTATAGTAACAGCAAATAGTCTATTTTCCTACTGAGTACTGGGACCAGGGGGCAAATGTTGTTTCTTCTCACTTCTTGGCCTTTCCTCACCATCTGAGTGATAGAGACTGAAGTGAAGACTTGGGGGAAGAGGACAGAGCATTGATTATAAACCCAAAATTAGCCTTTTTGTGTAAATACTCAACCTAGCCTACATTGCATGTAGCTGCCCTGGGGCCAGAGGCCAAACTTTCACTTACTTAAAAAGCTCCGAAGTCTTGCATGATGCTCTGGACACAAGGCAGGGGGCACTCTCAAAAGCGCAGTACCTCCAGTCTTTACCATCTTTTCTCTCTGTCTCTGTCTCTCTTTGGCACTAGAAATTGAATCCAGAGTTGCTCCATCACTGAGCTACATCCCCAGACCTCTTGCCTATTTATTTATGATACCAAGGATTGAACCCAGGGGGCCTTAAACACTGAGCCACATCCCGAGCCCTTTTTAAAAATATTTTATTTACAGACAGGGTCTCACTGAGTTATTTAGGGCCTCACTAAATTGCTGAGGCTGGCTTTGAACTCATGATCCTCCTCCTGTCTCAGCCTTCCAGGTAGCTGGAATTACAGGTGTGTGTACCCTGCACCAGGTTTATCTATTTATTTTGAGAAAGGGTCTCATTAACTTACCATGCTGGCCTCAGATCCTCCTGCCTTAACCTCCTGAGTACCTGGGGATTATGTGTATACCACCATACTTGGCC